AAGAAATTAGCATTTTCTAAATAATAGTTTCAGATAAACATTCTTCACAATGATTATCTCCACTTAGTAAACCATATATAAGTGCAGCTTCTCTGTATGTTGTAACAGTTATCCCATTACAGTTCGTAAATCCTGAAATGATAATGGCCCTCGAACGTGATTAAAAAAAATGCGAATGAAATATCGTTCTCCTTCAGAAGGATTGGCTGTGACAATTCGCCCTATAACAATTTGTTTCTTTCTTTGAGTCCAAATTTTGTTATTTTTCTTCCAAACGAAATGTGTTGGGAAATCTCGATATAATAATGTTCGAACAAATTCATTTGTTTCATTCATTCGAAAAAATTCTGTTAACATTGTTATTCTCGTATTTTCATTGTTAATAATAGTAAATAAATCATCTTGAACGGTGTATGTTACTTGTTGATGATTTTCAATATGAAGTTGTAGAGAATAAACAACAGGATACATTCTGACAAATTAAAAGAAAAAATTCTCCACATAACTTCAAGTGAAGATATCCATGTAACATATTGATAAGCAGATATTTCGTCAATTTCTTTATTTTGCATAATTTGTTCGAAGTGAAAAATTAATACGATCATGTCGTTTATACACATATTTTTACAAATATTTTACAGTTTTGATTGAAGAACACACTTCAACATTAATATGGCAATCAAATTTCGCACTTAAATAAGGATTATATGGTACAGAAAATTGATTATCTAACATTTGGCCTCTAACTTTAATAGAAATTCCAATGAATTAACACCAAATATAGTAGTGTTACAACCGAATATAGTAGTGTTACAATAATCTCTAGGATATTTATTTTTACAACCTTTATTTGTTTCCATATATACATTTGTTGGATTAAGGTTTCCACAAGGACCATGCATATTATGTTTAACAATAACAGAATGAAGATAAGGATATTTATTTTTGTCAGGAATTTCGCAGCATACTATTTTGTCAACCTCTTCAGCACAACAAATTTTTTTCCCAGACTTTAAAATCAACAATAGATACGCACGAGGAAGTCCTCTTTTTTGAAATTCAATCATATATATATGTGCAATAACATGACCTAAAATATTTGTATTGTATAGATCATTTTTTAACTCTTCTAATTTTGCTCGAAATATTCGTGCAATTAAATCTAGTCAATTTTGAACTTCATCGTTGTGTTTTAATTCTTGCTTAATCTCTAACCAATTAGGATTAATATCATAGTCAAAACAATGCCTGATTTTCCAAAACGTTGTACAATAGACCTTGCATCCATGTATCTTCTTAACATATCTCTAGGTCCACATGTAAAAGATTGTGGTAAAATAAATTTTCTTCCAATTTTTGATCCTCTTGTTACCCCATTTTCAACACTATCCACAATATCTTGATAAAATTCAGTACGAATCTACAACAAATTATTGAAATAGTCTACCAGTGTGAAGTAGTAAAGACTTACCAGAAGTTCTAATTTGGAATTTGTATGAATAATATTCTCGACAAGAAATCTGAGAACGTTTCTTGATTTCATTAAGTACTACACAATGAAGGAAAATGAAAACAATGTATAATCATTTAGTACTTGTAAATTGTAGAAGATAACAATTGTTAAGAAAATATATCTATGAACCTTGATTTTCTTTGTTGATAATGTCAGTTGTAGATGTAATTGGGCTAGGAAGATCGATTAAATCAGCCAGATGTTGAGGTTGAAAGCGTTTGTTTCTGCATCTCTCGATGCCTTCATACCAGTCAGATTCTCCATACGGGAAAAGCAATGAATATTGTAAAAGATCATAACAACCGTAGTAATAATGAACCTTATGTGAACCACCGGAATGACCGTAAATAATAATATCACGAGCATTAACATTTGCATTTTCATCATCTTCAACCCTTACAACAGCTACTTGAAATGCTATAGGAGTATTAAAAACTCTTTGATCAAGTCCTGTGTCACATCTAATCTTTATTTGATGTTCATTTAAATTAGCATATGACTTAAAGATTTAAAAAATTTACTGTATGGATTTATTTTCAATATTTTAATTAAACCAATCATAATAGATTCAACAAAATTTTCTGAAATGTTCATACGATTTTTAAGTTCATTATCTGTATCATAAAAATATAATTGGATATAAGAAAGGCTGCTATTTTCTGGTACAAGTTGATTTACGTAATGATATACTTGACCTTGAACCCTAAATGTATAAATACCTTTGTACGATTTAAATAATTTTTATCGTACTTTACACCAAACGAAGTGAATGCAAAATGATTATTATATTTCTTTGAAATTTTTTCGAATTCCAAACATATAGGTTCTTTAGAAGTAAACAAGTTATATAATTCAATTGGTGAATCGGACATGAACAACATAACTTTTCTATCAGAGCAACAAAAACTTTTACTTTCTCTATGAATTTTTTTTGCACCACAATGTTTACAATAAGTGCACGTCGGTAATACGTATGCAACATTTGGCACATTAAATAGAAAAAAACTTTCTTGTAATGTAGGGATAGAAATAATAGGTCTTCTGTTGGTCAAAGTAGAAGCCTCAGAGACAAAATGTATTGTAGTTTCATCCGTATGGACAGAATGGGAATTACTATTCTTAGATAACATAGACTCAAGGATCCTTCTGCGCTGATCTATACACCCAATTCAAGCTTCATTTCGCCGATTTCTTCGACTTTGATTTTGTTGCTGATGAAGTAATATATTTTGTGATTCAGTTGTAATTTCAAAAGTATTTTCAGTGTTCAACGAACTAGAGTTTTCATCACTGCTCGTCTTGAACACATCCATCAGAAATGTAAGAGAACTTATCGAATACTTCAAGCTCGAAATAAGCAACAACTACAAAAAAAAATGCAGTGGAACATTAGCGTAGAATATGCACACTGAACATGAAATTTACAATTGAACAATTATAGTACAGAAAATAGTGAAAAGCATGTTTAAATATTCACAATATGTAAACTATGTTATAATTAGTAGTACATAAACTATATACAAAAATCAATTTCAATAGCGTTAGTTCTTCCACTTTTCATGTTTATTGCTAGAATTCATCTCAATTCACTTGTTCTATGCATAAAAACTACAAATTTTATACTGAGCACATTATTCCAATATTAAATATAACATGTTTTATCTGAATTATGATTAGTGAAAATGTAATTTTCGAACTTCTCAAATCACTAAAAGGTTGAATAATTAGTAAAAATAGTAGTCATATTTTCTACATGCAAGTTTGTGTGATAATGAAAGAGTGCAATTGATTTATTTTCGTTTATGGTATGTTCAATTTAATGAATTTTTAGCTTTATGAAAATTTTATTGTTCTATTAGTACAATTAAAATAGGAATAAAAACAAAGTTGTAGCATACTTTCACAATAAAACTAAAAAAATAACGAAAATATGAAGGGTAGCTATAGGAGTATATTCTAATCTTATTATGGTGCTCTATAAAATAGAATCGCGAAAAAGTGAAGAACAAATGCAAGACATTAAAAAAAAAAAAAAGAGGAAAAAAAGGGAAATGATACCAGTTTCCATAACAAACGTAGACACAAAAAACGAGATGAAATAAAGAGTAATTAAAATACAAACAAGTTTACCTTGAATATGTTGCGGGAATCTGCAAATCTGTCGAAGCAAAAGGCAAGCACTCTATTACACAATTTCTAGCTGTATGCAGATTGTAGTATTATTTAATTCGTACGAATAGAATATGCATAATAACAAAGGTATAGTATACTTTGACGGTAAAGCTACACCTATAATAGAAACATACCGGAAGTATGAAATGTAACTGTAAAGTTGTATTGTTGCTCTATAAAATAAAAACAGGAAGCAGTCAAGAACAACGAAAGGAAGGCACAACGGTTAATAAAATAAAATAAAAAAAAAAAGAAATGGGAAACAATTTCCATAAGAAACGTATAGAGGAAAAACAAGATGGAATAGGAAAATTGAACAAAAATACAAACCTTCACTAAATGATCCTCTCTTCTATAGGAAGCTAGAAGATTGTGGGAATACAAAAATAAACTGGTGCGGAACGTGAGTTACGGGTTGTTTGGACGTCAGTTATATGATGAAATAGGTAAATCGTGTATTCTTTCTTTATGGTTGTTGTGAGAACAGGGGAAGAGGCGGTTCTCTTATCTTATCTTATTGAAAAAAAGGGTGGTAGAGGCGGTTAGTGAATAGTTTTTGACAGACGTCCATACGTGGGAATGTAGAAAATGGCATAGTACATCCAATTTGAGGGCGGTGGAATCCAGTGGTCAACAATTCGGCCAACTAAATAGTAATTCACAACGTGTCAGTATAATCGTATTACTTACTCGTGAAAGAATACACCTTGCTTTAATCATGGTAGTGATGGAATGAATTGGTCAAACACGTAAGGTGGCGTTAATCTATTTTTGTACAAATGCCTACAAATAAATGTGAACTAACAAATTATATCTCTCTCCCTTATTAAAGTAAACAGTTGAGGCTGAGGTATTTTCCTTTCCAGTCAACAAAACAAAACAATTGAAGCCCACCACAATTGAAACCAGTTTAAGGTAGAAAATAAGCAAATTCCAAACAGTTCACGTGTGAACACGAGGTACCAAGAATGAATAGTGATCCGATGGATCCTCTCTTTTATAGGAAGGTAGATTTAATACACAAGCTTAGTTTTGTAATTATATTGAATTATGTTTCCAACTGTCCAAGTACCCAAGTTTTAAGCCAATATGATATTTGTCCAAAACCATGCATGTTAAAGCTTGGCATTTCACAAATTAGATGCTTAAATTACTCCTTTACATGATCCTTGCCCTGGACTGAGCAACATGGAAAAGAAATTTAGCCAGTAATGCAAGAAAATGACAATGCATGTATTTATAATATAAACTAACTTCTGGTGGAAGGTACAAATATGATTTTTACTTGCAAGTGTAGGTAGTCTAACATGCTTACCAAGAGGGACCTTGAACCCAGTTGCCATGGCATCCCGAATGGGATCGGGAAGTTGCTCTAGTCTGCTAGTTGCCCGACCGAAAGCACCTGTTAGCTGTTCAGGTATGGTTTCTTCATTGATCTTTGAAGATTTGAGTATTCCTTCAACATATTCCTCCTTCATTTTAAGTTATCCCTCGACAGATAACTTGGTCGAGAGAATAGATAACGAAAGATAGACGTAAAGTGGTGGGATATATGATATCATACATCAATTGAATATCATGTCAACTGAAACACACAGAGTTCAACAAGGGTAGATTAGATACACTTACAAATAGTGTCATATGAAAATGATTGGCTAGTGAAACCAAAGCTGATTGTGGGGGAAGCAATTTATATTTGAAAGTGTAATAAAGATAGAGATCGTAACATTAAAGCAACGAGCATATTACCGAGTTGAAGAATATAACATTTGCCTCAATATTAACATATCCATCCTTGATCGCTACATCCAATTTTGATAAATTTGCGAATGCAGGAGGAAACCTCCTGCAAAAACATGATGTTTGTACATCATTAGTTTTCTATCAACACTAAATCCCAAACAAAGTCATGGTAGGATTATTGAACTCACCAAATTCACAATTATTATTTTGAGTACTCTCACAAAGATAAACTACAGATTTTGGAGAGAATAGAGGTTTTATTTTGTGAAGACTAATATTTATTTCCGGAGGCTTATTTCATCAAATTTGGTGTGTGATAGGCCAATCACAATCCTATAATAAGATGAGGACTTTGCGAACATCTCATCATGATACATAGCTGTAAAATGCTACGAAGATGTCATTATGCTAATCTTTGACTTTTTCTACTTGACCTTTAGTCTTTATTTTTGCTAAAAATTATCCCTGAACGTTCTTCAAAATAAGTTCTAGTATTTATAAAAAGACAGATGAAATATTCGGTAAGTACCTTATGAATAAGAAAAAAAAGGGATTTGTTATTCATGTTCGTTTGTGGCCACTAACCAACTAATTCTTAATAACACTTGCTCAAACACAAACCAAGCAGCAAAGCACATGAAATAATCAGTAAGTACCTTATGAATAAAGAAAAAAAAAAGGATTTGTGATTCATGTTAGTTTGTGGCCACTTACAGCAAAGAAACCATGGCTCCCTGATCCAAACGACTCGAAATTCCAGCGGCCTCCAGGTAAGGAGACCTAAATAGCCAGAAACACAAAATAGACACCTAATAAGTTGTTATATGCTCATTGTATGTTTGGTAACGTAGATTGGATACTATTAGATAATATTAAGAAAGAAAATATCTTGAGTTCTGTCCTATGTAATATTGCATACAGACTAAACACCATACGTTGTTGGTCGAGGTGTTGGATTGAGTCACGGAGACAGCTCCCAGCTCCGTGCTAGGTGCCGTACACTTGCCTGTTAACAGTACGTGCAGAGGTGAAAAAGTGATGAACAAGAGCTATGCTAGTAGAATACATAAAAATGACAGCCTAGGTAATACAATTTTTTGGCCCAAGCATTCATGAGTGAGTTCTGAGTCATACCTGATGAAGAGCTGCATTAGCAGTCTGCTGCTGATTCTTTCCAGACCACTGCACAGCATCCATCATCATATCCCAAAGAATCCTGATGACCTCAATATCTGGCAATTTTGCATCTTTGACATGTTGCTTCACAGTTTCTATGACTTCAGATATATCAGCTTCCTCTGCCATCTGGCTTGTTAGCACAGATTTCATTTCCTTCAACTTCATTTCAAATATCTTCTTCTCATTATATTCAACCAAGGGTAAAATCCCTGCCTTACTGAGACACAAGTCAAAGATAACTAAGTTCAGCCTAAGTAGAAATTTCAATTGGTTAAATTACAGAAGTCAATAAGTTGAATGATTACACCCCACTCTCACAATTTTGGTGCACTCAAGCTTCTTACAATGTCAAGATGGGACTGGCTTGCAATTTCCAACATATATTGAAGGAGAGACAGTTCGGTGTAAAGGAAATAGCAATATATTAAAGAATAAATTTGCAAGACAACAAGATCCTATACTGCACTTCTATATCTGGAAAACCCAGATGTACATGTACAACTCCAGAATCTCAAAATTATCAGGGAAGTCAAATCTGAAATGATACGTGCCTGGACTAAATGCACAAAAAATAGAGTTTTCCATTTCAACAGTTTACCAGCATCAACTTAATTAATACTCACTTCACCCATTGTTACAATCATACTTGCTGTTACGACATCCAAAGTAGGAGTCCACTTCTTGAGTCGATGCATTTTATTCCAAATTGCTCCAATACACCTTTGATAGTTTTATGCATAGCTTTACAAATAATTTTTTTAACATGTTCGAAGTAATCCCAATCAAAAAACGACATAAAAGTTAATCAACACTTACCACTCAGGTTTTGGTTTTCATTTCGTTGGGAAACAGGATGCTGTCTACTAAGATTAATTAGCATTCCATTTATTTTCATCTTCTCAGAACACAGAAATCCCTTTTCGACTTTGTGAATATTAAGTTTTTATATTGTATTTCACATTGAAAACAAGACTTGGTTGTGCTGGTAAGTTTTCACATATTCAAAATTCATGAATTACTTTAAAATGTAGGACTTGCGTATTTCGAATCAGACCAAGTTGAGTGAGTCTGTAGCATTATTTAAAAGCTCGCAGTACTTCAAGATGAGGGTGAATTAAGAAAAGCTGACCCATTTGTCTTGATTGGCACCCCTAATATCCATTAACCTTAATTAATCCATCAATATACACTTAAAAATAGGCAAGTTTTCATAAATCCTAAATAATCTCAATCATCTGTACGCACATAATATAAATATAAAACAATTAAGAGTCCATTGCATAGAGTTGTATAACAATGAAAAATTAAAGATTATACCAATTCCCATGGATAATAAGCCTGTTGAAAAATTGAGAAAATGAGGAAAGCCATATAACACAACAACAGTTCAGCAAAGACGGTCTACAAGAATTAAACAAGTAGCAACTCAGTAAACCAAAAATAGATTAAGGCCTCGTCTGGGAGCAATTGAGCATTTTTGAGAATCAATTTTCACGTCATTTTCATGTACAGTGAATCACGTATTTAAGTCAACAAAGGTGGGAACTTTCCAATTTTGTCCTCCATATGAAATCCCAATTTTTACGTGAGAAATGAAGTCATTGACTTTTCAATGGTTGGAAAAGTTGGCAATGGGTCCCACCATTGTCCTTCAATAATGGCTACAAGTTCTATTTCACTGGTGATGTTCTACTTTCACGTGCATTTTACCGTGCATAATTCGGAAGGTTTTCCCTATTACCTTGGAACGTGCATTTTTCCACATAAATAATTTTAGCCCCAAATCTATGAAACCTCGGCTGCAATATGGTAATGTTAGCAACACGAACCAATCGTTCCGTTTGTTTACATCTCACACAATCAGTGGACCATTGCTAATTTTTTATTTCAGTACTTCATAACGGCAATCACATTGAAATTAAACTGAAAACGATATAAAATTCAAACTTGATGTGCCAGGTAATCTCGGAACATGTCCCACTCACGTCGTTGGGTTTCTGGTGCATGCATTTCAGCTGCATCTTGTTCTCGTTCGTCCGGGAGGTCCACCTCCGCCACCTCGGGGTCCGTCTCCGCTCGATCAAATGCTTCATCTACCACACCCGCTCGACGAAGGAAGTTGTGCACTCCCATAGTGGCAATTACAATAGCTGTTTGTACTTCAAAATTGTAGCTTGGCATCCGATCGAGTATTTTTCAACGACTTTTCCACACGCCAAACGCGCGTTCGATTACGTTCCTGCACGACGAGTGCCGAAAATTAAACTTCTCCCGAGCATTTCGGAAGTTCCGCCTGCGACCCGTCGCGGCATCGTAAAATTGCTGAAAGTGGTACAATATATCCGATCCCTTATACGGCGCCATGTACCCAGGTCGATGCGCAAACCCCGAGTCAACAAGATAATATTTTCCGGCAACGGGTAGCGGAAAGCCACTGTCCGGGTCGTGTATAACCCTAGACAAGATTCTTGCATCATGACTGGTCCCTGCCGTGCCAGCAAGCACAAATGTGAAACATAAATTGAAATCACATGCCGCCGTACATTCTGTGTCGGAATTCCTTTGCGACCGATGAAACTCACTCGCTCGTCCCGGGGTAGAACGACTCTAACGTGTGTACCGTTAATAGCTCCTATGAAATCCCGGAATATGTAATGTTGGTTCAGATTCGGTACGTGATGCTCGGCACCCTAATTGTACATCGGATGAGATTTGATTAAATGCTTCGTAAACTGAACGACGGCTTCAAGCACAAGTTTGAAGTAGCGTCCAATTGTTTCAAGCGAATGGTTGAATAGCATCTGCACCTGTTTATATCCCTTTCCATGCGCTAGAATGCAGAGAAACATACCAACTTGTTCGTACACATCCACATGTTGCTGGCTGCGCAGGCCGTACTCATCTCGTAGCACGTGGGCGAACGTTCGCAGCATCGCAGGGTACATGCGGAACTCCACGTAGCACTGTTGAGGGTTATAGTTCATAGCGTCTAGCATGAACATGTGACCATTGAGAGCGCACGGATAACGAGCAATACGAAGACGTTGTTCACGATAGTAGTTAGAGACATATACCTCTCCTATACGGCAGTATTGAAACCACTCAATCAGATCCGCTAATAGCTCTTCCGTATATGCGTCGTCGTTAATGTTGTCGTCACATCGGAAGTTTGTGGCAAATCGCAGTTCATTTCAAAATTTGCGAACACACAGAATGGTTAAGGCACATACAGAATTAGATGATGTTCGTCGTCGTCAATGTTATGCTGCAAACTACACCTCGCCCTTTATAGTCAAAAGGCAACGCCAGTTTCCACAAATAATGCAAGTGAAACA